GAAAATGAATAGTATTTTTGCTTACGCTCATCACCGTCCAAATTTTATTGCGCAGTCACGAATGTCTGGTAGCGTTTTATTTTTCATTGTTTTTATATAAATCAGAATGACTTAAAATTTGGAGGGTATGTACATCTTATTAAGGCGCATCTAATAAAAATATAAAAAAAAAATATAAGCAAAAATAAAATTGACCAAAATACCCCCAAAATGTTTCTGGGGTATTTTGGTCAATATTTTTCATGTAAAATATATTTTTTATATTTTTCGAAAATTCCCCTATTTTTAATGAATACACCCTCCAAATTTCAGGTCATTATTATTTTTAAAAAAAAAATAAAAAATGAAACACTATCGAACAATCGTAACCGCACGATGAACTTTGGACGGTGATGGGGGTAGGCGAAATCACTGTTCATTTTCGCCTATAGGTGTTGTGTAGTGTTTTCCATATATATATATATATATAGGAAGATGCTAGGTTGAGCCCACTAGCTCATGGAATAGTAAAAGCCCAACGGTCCAGATTGAATATGGGTCAATCCGATGGCCAGAACTGTATATCGGTAATATAATTTTAATATTTTTAGAGCATAAACTCTTTTCATCGAGGCGTACCTAATAAAAATATCCAAAAAATAATTTGTATAAACTAAATTGACCAAAATACCCCCAGAATGTTTCAGTGGTATTTTGCTCAATTTAATTAATGTGAATTAATTTTATGATATTTTTATTAGATTCGATTATTCTTGAAGACTAAGTGCTCCAATTTTCAAGTAATTTGGATTAGTAGAAAAAAAATTAAAATTCACTTACGAAATACAATTGTGATCATTGGATCGGTCCAGATTTAATCTGGGTTGTTGGGCTTACACTTTTCTATGAGCCCATGGGCTGACAATAGCTTTTTTCATATATATATATATATATATATGAATACCATAAATAGCGATTGCACTGAAGAAACTATTTCTTAATAAACTATTGAAGAAATTATTTCTATAATGGAAAACCAAGACAGTTTTCAACTTCTTTCATCCAGAATGATAAAAGAGCATAAAAAGAAAGAATTTAACTATCTTCATATTGGTCTTGTTCAGATAGTTGTAAACCTCTAACCAGAACTGGTTTAAATAATTTGGTTTTACTCTGCATAAGAGATAACAGACACCGGAGGTTTAACGACTCTCTTTTAGGGATCGTTGAATCTACTCTCTACAACGGACCTAAATACTTTAATTGCTTTCCTAATTTCTCGGTAGCATTATCAGATCCAAATTTGTTAAAAGTTCTAACCCTTAACCTTAAAACCCAAGGATTTGATATGAATTCTGAATCTCAAAATCTAGCATTCGTTTATAGAATCTGCTATAAAGTCAAGAACACTCTGTGTCCAAGCAAATAGATACTAAAGGACAAACTACCTTCTTTCAATCAAATATGGATAAATATAATCTTGTTATACCTAAGTCCGTATCTTGGAAACAGGTAAAATTACCTGAAAGATGGTCTCTTCAGTCTGAAACCTAGATAACAGCTCCTGAAAACAGGGAACCGGAATAAATTATCGAATATCCCAATGGAGAAATAGAAATACAGTTTCCATCTTCTAGGAGAACTAGGCTAAATATTTCAAATATCGTTCCTAGAATTCCGCCTAGAACTTCAACTTCTTCTATTCCTGAAGCCGATTATGAAAAAGCTCATAATGACAAGATTGTTCTTGAAGGACATAGAAGAAATCCAAACTGAAACCGAAGAACCAACCCTTTATGAATTTCATTTCGAAGTTCTTACACTTCAAAAACCAGATGAGTTTATTATTGATAAGGACTGGATTAAAAAGGACTTCCTCTCTGATGAGAACAAACAAATAAGAGATTGGTTTTTTCAAGAATTCAAAGAAGAATTGAAAAATATTTTTCATATAAAGTTTAATAAATTCATGATACAACATAAAATAGATGTAAAATTATTTAAATAGCTGACATATATTCTTAAAAAGGAAGGAATCAAATATCCAGAAGTTGATATAAATATAGTTCAAAGCGCCTTTCAGACTTATCATACAGTTAAAGCCGAAACGATTGAAGCTATCTATCCTCCTGAATCGAGCTTACAATTAAAAGGGAAAAGATATAAAGTGAAAGCTTCACCTTATAAACATGGGCCTAAAGAATCTGATAATCATATGGCTAAACTTGAGATAATACCTCATATAATAGAACAGAATAATTATACAAATATCTTCCTACAGATTATAGGGAAGCAAACTAATAGAATAAAAAATGTTCTAAATAAAATAAAGCCTCAACAACAAGAGAAGAATGAGGAAAATGATAAAGAAGCAGTCTTATTTAAACCACCACCATGTGTAGCTGCAGGAAAGTTTAGCTTGCAAGGAATCAAGAAGATAACTAAAAATTGTTGGATGAATTGGTAAAAGGCTCGAAAAATCAAACATAGATGCTAAAGGAGAAAAAAGTGGAAATGTACAAGTTCTTCAAAAAAACCAAAATATTACAAATAAAGAAATAACATAAATAGAAGAAGCTTTTA